AGGGTTTTTAATTAGCACTTTGCTCCTTACTTTCAAACAGCTAGTGGCCGTCCCAGTTTCAGATGATGGCTGCCTGAAAAGTTTGAGATGGGCAGATTGTTGCACGGTTTTCACACCAATGAGCAGCTGGCACATTCTCGATATGGATGTGTTTACAGATCACTGTGTGCTTTGTGCAGCAGAAGGTACCGTGCCAAGGATCGTGGTAATTCCCCTGGACTCCTGGAAACAACCCAACAGTGTTAAGGTTTGTCATTTCTCTTGTGACTCACACTGGCTAGAACCCTGCAAGGTTATTTGTGAGATTTTACAGATTTACAGATTTCTTTAGACTTGCAAAATTGCAGATGCTCATTCCGGGCTAGGTGCTCACTTCAAGCTAGGTGGTCAGGGCCAAGCAGGCACATTCCTTGCTGTGATAAAGAAAAGTCCCTGTCTTGTCCTTACAATCCCACACGTAGACTTCGATCCAGTAATATGAATCTTCTTAGAGAACCCAGGTCATTTCATTCATGGGGAGATCGCTCTTTTTCATGTGCTGCACCTTGTCTTTGGAACAATCTAACGGCATGGTTACGATCTTCCCCTTCTCTCCTGCAGTTTAAGAAGGATCTGAAGACTCGTCTCTTCAATGAGGCATTTAATTAATTTCAATGTACTAGTGCCCTGAGCACCTTGGTGGATCTGTGCGTTCTATAAATCGTAATTTTTAATATTATTATTATTATTATTTGTTCATACCCTGAACCAAAAATAAACGTGCATTTCTTCCTCACCATTTATTAATTCATTCCTTGTGCCCTGCCTCAAAGAATTGTCTTTCACATGGAAAATAACAAGTCTGCTGATCTCCTCAGGTGCCGGAGAACTTCTGCTGGCTAACTTCAGGGCCCAATGCAACCTGCACAGCCACCGACTTCCAGTTTTCCCTGTCCTCTCCTGTCCAGCCGGCCACTAACTGCCATCTCGCAATTGGAAACAAAAGGCATCCGAAGGTAGTACTTGGAACAGGCAGAGATGGAAAAGTTAAAGAGGATTCAGGAGTGTTCATCAAAGGGAGTCCAAAAGAGAAAGTCTGTACAAGGCTGGAGGCAGTAAGCAAGGTAGGTCTACGTGTATATTGAGCAGTGCCTACATATATTTGGCAGGGAGAAAGAGAGACGAATTGGTGGAGTAAGATGGGGGGACAATCAGTCCTCCCCGATAGCAACAATGGTCCCTTGTCAAGAGCTCAATCACGTTACCCTGCCCGTTTGTGCCCATTTGGCGCAGGATGCACTGAAAACTAAACAATTTTAATTGGACAGTTGGAGTGTATAGTCTTTGCACAAGGCACATGCACGAGTCCAGTTGATTAAGCTTTTGCCCAACCTGTTTCTTCTTTGCTGTTAAGTGCACTGTTAGTACAATTTCATGCACAAGGAAAAATTTAGGTCTTTTGTCTTTGTAGTCTTTTTTTATTGCTCATAGTACTTGGCCCCTGTAATTACAAATTAGTTAATAAACTCTGAAGGGGGTTTTTTATGAAGAATTTTGACTGTACTAACTCAGCCAATTCACTGGCCAAAATACGTTACTCATAACTGGTTCTCATTTCAATGTTGCTGAGTACATTTGCTACTCAAAAAAATTTTGTTCTTAGCTGCTCTGGTAAAGTGTTTCCTGGGTTATTGTATTCCCTGTTATTTGTAGGATGGCACCCATGTCCCTGTCACAGTCTTTCACAGGCATGACATAAGGTTTAGCAGTGATAACCCCATGCTGGTATGCAGCTACGGTGCGTATGGCGTGAGCCTAGATATGAGCTATGATCCCCACACTGCATTACTGGTGGAGCTGGGCTGGGTGGTGGCTTACTGCCATGTCAGGTAATGAACTGAACGTTGAACTTCAAAAAATGGGATGGAAATGGCATTGTGCGCTGAGTCCTAAGAACTTGAGGAAAATCATAGCGGGACTTGAACCAGTCGTTTCTGTTTGGAGGGCAGAGGTGTCAACAGCTTGACCACTTAAACTCGTCAAAGTCAGCTGCTGAGTTCAAATCCAGTGATTGAATTTTTATGCAGGGGAGATGTACACCCTGATAAGGGTTTGCTTCTTGCCGGTGTGTGTAATGTAATTAAAACTATAGTCCATATTCTCAGTGCTGTCAGTGACAGTCCCATTACCAGCTCTGGGCATAAGGGGGCCATATTACCAGCTGAGGGGTACTTCGCAACAGTGAATAATTTCAATGCTCATGGATTTTGCTGATGGGGGAGAACAGCTGCTCACCAAGGACACTTCTTGGTGAAGGCCCTGGTCCTTGTGCCTGTGATGAGTGCAGGTTTGAGGTTGAGTTTGAGTTCCCGGTGTTGAGAAGCTCACAGATTTCTAATCAGGAATTCTTTGTCCATTTAGAAGAGAACATAAGTATAATATAGGTCAGAACTTGGAAGGCAGAACTCACGCAGAGCACTTACGCAACTATGCAGAGTTCATTGTGCAGAACTGTATCTCGTACATTGTCAGTATCTGTTGTATTTGACAGAGGTGGCTCAGATCTCGGAGTTCAGTGGCATCATTCTGGCAGAGCCCTCAACAAAATCAAGGGCATTGAGGTAACAATTAAAATTGATGAAGTTGCATTTGAATCCCAAGTGTAGGCATCTCAAGCTCTCTCCCAAACACCAAATCAATAGGATTGCAATGAAGGCCTTACAAAGTGACAGATAGTTTGGTTGAATTCATCAGGTAAACAAATTCAACTATATACGTAAGCCCAGACGCCTCTTAGACGTCTGCATTGCTCTTACCTCCCGGCCATCTTCCTGCAGGATTTGGAGGCCTGCATAGCCACCCTCCAGCTAGCTGGTTACTCCCAGCCTACAATTACTGCACTCCGTGGGGTCAGCGCTGGGGGTCTCGTGGTAGCCGCCCTCTGCAATAGAGCACCACAGCTCATCAAGGCAGCTGTACTGGAGGTGCGCTATCAGTGCTTGTGAAGTAGTTTCCAAATTACAAAGTATGCAGGTTTGCAGGAGCCAAGCAAACACACCATCAAATCAAATTTGACGTCAGAGAACATTAGCAGCAAAAGTCAACAAGTGAAATTGTGTTCAACTTTTGTGAATTATCAGCAGGAATATTTGATCTGATGTCACAAGTTTACGTTGGGTTCACTTGTACACCAAGTATGAACCGACCTTTAAATCAGTACCTTGACCAATCTCTAATCTGGTCCCTTATATTACACCTTTTTAAGGCTGAAGCATTTTAGATGTCACAATTTTATGTTGGGTTCGCTTTGACGCCGAATATGAACCAGCCTTTAGATCAGCACCTTGAAATATCTCTGATCTGATCCCTTATATTGCAATCTTTTAAAGGCTGAAGCATTTCTAGCTGACCAACAATACTAGGTTGACTTGATTTTTAGTTCCATCACATGGTTTAAGTAACAATATGACAATTATCCACATAAAACATAACACAAGGAACATAAACAAAATCAAGTAATTTTAGTGAAATTTAAAAGATACAAACAAAAAAAGGATGAAAGACCACGTAGGCAGCAAAGGTAGTTGAGTGCAACTCACCGTAAAGGAGTAACAAAGTAATTAAATGGTAAATGAGTCTACTGTAAAACCCCTACATAAGATGGAAAATAGAATAGTGAACTAGTGGTGAAAGGAAGCAATCGAAAGAAGTAAACACAGTTTACGTGAATAATAGTATGACGTTGTCATAAGGCAGACATATGTACTTGCAATATGCCAACTTGTCATTGGTTCTTGGCCAGGTTCCTTTCGTGGATGTTTTGTCCACCATGCTGGACCACGGTCTTCCCCTTACCCAGCAAGAGATACAAGAATGGGGAGATCCTCTCCATGATGCGACAGCGTTTGATTGCATTAAGTCTTACTGCCCCTATCAGAACATCACATGCCAAGTGAGTGTACACTACTGATGCAAAAAGAACCATTTTTCAGTATTGTTTTTAAGCTGAAAGCTCAATTTTTTTTATTTTGCATTAATTGTGATGTAAATACCATTAAACGTTTGCCTCCTGAAATGACTTTTAGGAAAGGCTAGTTTGTGCCCTGCATGAATGCAAATATGAATTTTACATCAGAAAACATAGGAATTGGCCTTCAGATGATTATTTACATTTCAGTGGCCTGAAGATTTTTATTTATTACCAGGACTATCCAGCAATGCTGATCACCACTTCTCTGGATGATAGCAGAGTTCCTGCATGGATACCTCTCAAGTATGCGGCCCAGCTGCGTCACATGACATCGTCATCGTGTCCCACCCAAATTTCCCTGTATGTGTGGGTGCGGGAAGGAAGTGGCCACTTTGGTCAGTGGGGAGATTTTGATACATCTGAGCAGGTGAGGAAAGTCAGAATTGACTGCAGAACTAACTTGATTTATTAGATTTGCCACACAGTGATTGGCGGGTAATTTTTCCAGGTTATTGTCACAATTTGTAAAACAAGACTCCAATATCACCAGTCTGGTTAACCCATCTGTAGAGAACCTAGTTATTGGGCATTGCTTAAACAACTTAAGAATGTAAAATTCACCTGCACTCTGAAAAGCTATATCTAAATGTTGAGGCTGCAACTAGGAATAACATGTGCAGTTGTGCACCAAGGGAAATCGAAGCCAGTTGATTCAGAAATGGGACTCATTGACCAGCACTACAATACTTTTGTCTCTCTAGGCTGCAGTCCAGACAGCATTCCTGTACAAGTCAATGGGACTCAACACAAATTAAAGGAGAGATTTCCGAGGACCACGCTAAGCTGCTGTAAGTTAGAAACCGCAGTTTCAAAGGTTCCATGCAGAAAGTCATGGTGGTGTTGTGCAGCCTAATCACAGGTAAGAGTCAAGTTTGAGTTTGGGCCAAATCAAAATACAGCTATGTTAATGTACCTTAAAGAGCGATGCACAAAAGTGATGGGAAAACTGCTCTGAAGGATCCATGCCACAGAGAAATTTTCTGCATCACAACAAATGGCTAACATGTGCATGGGGCCCATTGCTCGTATGTTTCAAAAGTGTCTCGGCTAGTTGCTAGTGCCTTCAACTGATATTTTGTCTGGCTATGAGTGTGTTCTGTATGATATATATACCAGGACTGAATGCACCAGTGATATCTATAATCAACCACGTTGACTCTTTACTGTTCTTGTCTTGACGCCATTACAAAACTGGGCAACTAGTGGTCATCAGCAACTCCATGAATTAAGCTCAGATGCAGTGGACAAAATCAATTCTGCTTTCAAATAGCATGCAATGTAGCACACAATGCAGAGAAATGTGACTTATGCCTCACAAACATTGCAGGTTACGAGCTTAAAGGATGAAACTTTCAACTTCTTGAGAGACAATTAAGGTTGTGTAAAAAGAAAATTTTTTCTCATTGTAGGAGCATTTGGTGGTTTGCTTCCCCTTCCACCTAAACACTCATCCATGTTGAAGTTCCAAACTATGACACAAGTTTTTCAAAAGTTGGAGTAAGTGGAATTTCTCCAGACTTGGCCAAATCGACCAAACTCAAGGTAGAATTTTCCAGGATGGTAGCAGTGCTTGACATTAAAAGGCTGTGTAGCCTGGCAATTGCTCTATGCATGCGTAAGCATGTACATGTATTTTCACTTTCTGTGGAAACACTTGTCGCAAACAATATCAATGCACTACTGTAATTCATACTTTGGTAACTAAGGGGACTCCTCTTTTAAAACAGGTAATATTTATTTTTATAGTATGTACATGCATAAACTAAAACATAATAAAGGCAAAGTGTTCAAAACTTAATAGGTTTCACAAATTGTTTTATTGTTACTGTGAGTGTGCTATGATATAAGAGGTTTTATCAAAAAGTTATTTACACATGTTGAATCAACATTTCAATTCATAACACAACTAGCAGCTTCATTCAACCAAACTTCAGCGCAGTTAATTTTTAACCATGCTCAAGCCTTGAAAAAAAAAAACATGTTTGTACAGGGCCTGTTTGAATGGAAGTGCAAGGGTTCTGATGATTAAATCTTTTGTACTACCACAAATTTTGACGGATTAAGGCAGTCGTTTCTTTTCAGGAAAGATGATTGGAGGAAGTATAAGTATCTTTTAAAATTGGTTGAACCTTGCACGCAACTTGCCTTGATAGCTGAATTCTATATGGGATGAAAAACTTTTCGTACAGGTACCGTGGGTAACTCGACACCTGACTGCAAACGTACCAGGGAAAAATGAAAAAGAACTTCCAGTGTCATCTCTGTGGTACTTCATATGAAAATCCAAGGCCCAGAAACTTCAGCAAGGTTTTTAAAATGTGCTGGGAATACAACACGAGTCTTTCACAGCTTAAAGAAGGAGGCATCTGTAACGGCAAAGGGCATTAAATTTAAAAAAACTAATAAGGGCAAGGGAGCCTGTGATGGTTTCCTGGCTAAAGCGCCTCTCTGCAGCTCATGTCGTGAAAATCCTCAGACACTGAGGTTTAACTGGTCCATCCACAACAACAGTGGCTGCACACTAGCTGACAAGACCTAATGGAGAGAAACACAGATTCGGTCTTATTTTTCTGATGTATGTGAATTAAGACCAACTAATCGCTCACCAACTCGACTGGCAAGTAACAAATAAATACTAATTTATGAGTGCCGCACATTTCATAAAGGTAGCTTCATCACAGGCCTTAGTCAATGGCCTTGATTTCTGATTTGTCTCTTCCATGACCCGACAAGATGGGAACTTGGTTTTCCTAAGTGCATGCAACAAGAGCAAATCTGTGAAGATCTGCATTTCAATACAAACGATTCTGTTAATATACAGAGAGCTTGTTGCTAGAGGCACATTTGTGCAGCGGGAGACTTCAGGGAGGTTCCCAAGAGCCATGTTATAGGAATCTGGAAAATAACTTGACATGTACATGTACAAGCTTAGAAACAAACTTACCAAGGTAGTCGTCCATGAGCGTGCCAATTGCAAACTGAAATGGAAACAACAGTTTTGGAAGAGTCAGTGCAGTGATGTTCACTTGGGGAAGATAAGTTTGATTGTGTGGTCTGTCCCAGATTTTAGAAGTCATCTAGTCTCCAGAGGCAGGCTGCTCTAATTCAAAGGCATTTTTTGGTCATTATTTCTCCCCTATTGCTTGTGATCTGACTCTAGATTCAATTTGCAGTATTTCCAGTAATACTCTTGGAACTGGTCTAGTTATAGGCAGTGCTGTAGTAAAGTACTTTTCTGTGAGTATGGGTACTTTGGTAAGAGTACGAGCTCTGCAACACTGGTTATAGGTATTTGCAAAACTGGTTCTTTAAGTCAAAAAGTTCACAAAGCAGGTGAACAGTTTTCTCATATCATTTGTGACTTTAATGCTAATAAGCATTGTCAAAAGACTCCTCAAGAAGTGCTGTATAAAATCTAGTTTTCTTGGCCAGTCTGCAGACACCTACGATATCCGATGCGTCCACTCTTGTTCCAACGATCTTCAGCCTGATTTCATCATCCTGCTGTATGACAATATCCTGTAGCATCAAAATCAAATACAAACACAGCTTTGTTGAGTTGATCAAGAGAGTAACAGGCAGATTGTACACTATACAGCCATAAAACACATTCAATTTTAATAAATTTGCCACAGCAGAGACTTGTTTAATAATTCCCATCACACTCAAAAACATTTTGAATTATTGTAAGAACTGAACCTTAAAAATACACATAAAACATAACACCTTAGTACCATTACCCACAGATTTGGCATGTTAAAGGGCTGACATACAGTCGCTCAAAATTCTATATGCACGGCAACCAAAGTATTGCCATTAATAACCAGAGTCCCATATTTCTGTGTGTGCCAGCATAATGCATTGTACCATCAAAAAGTAAACGTTCATTATAAATATAAAATGTTTCTACAATTTAGGGGCATGGGTAAAAATTTGTTCCCATTTCTGAAACTGCGCTCTTGGGTTTACCTCGTCTTTGGTCTTATAGCATGGGGGGATAGAGTTGGGGTCAAACTCCATGTCAGCTGGGATAGACTGGGAAAAGAAACAAGATGATAAAACATGTCAGATGAGATGAAATGGATCAGGGGAAATGACTCTTTCACTCCTGACAAAATAGACACAAGTTGTTTAGCAGCTTTTCATAAATGACGATTCTTAAAGTTCGGAATTCGACTCTTCATTTTGATGCCAAAATTGAACAAATTTAAACTCAAGTGTGACACCCAAAGCTACTGTGACACTTCAAAACAGGAAAAGACATTCAGTTATGTTGCGAATCACGAGAGGCAATTTCCTTACTCAAGGTAAAGTATGGGAGATTCATTTGATGGAATACTCACATGTTTTGAGATGAAACATGACAGGGGCCCAATCTCAGTAAAAAGCCCAACCTGTGAAGTGAAATATCAAAATCAAGTTTTCAAATAGGTTTTGTATCTTTCTGGTTTTATTTTTGTATCACTCTTGAAGTCACCACTGGCGGCAACTTAATCCTAAAAGGGCCAAGGTTTTTGACTTCTAGAAGCATGTGATGACGGCTTTCATCGATCTACTTTCCCTTGCATTAATAAATGTTACATGTGTATGTCCATGATTGTCATGTTAAGAAGTTACTGTGATAGCCACGGCCATTCTGTTAAACTGATACGTCTATTTGGCTCCAAAGCGACCTCTCGCACAATATTACTCAATGATGATCACAAGTGTATTTGGATAAAAACGAAGTCCTAAAATTACTGATATCTGAAATTAAAACTGCTTGAGGAATGCAATTTCACAAGAAGCAAAGTTGGCAGAGAACACTAAGCTTTAAGTCCCTTCAACTGTTTGAGCAGTCACAGACAGAGAAACATTTTCATCTTCATATACAGGTACATGTACCTACCCTGCTACACAACTGATTTTGACGGCAAGGAGCTTTGTCAAAAATAAGTGTTTGCATGGGAGGGTTGGTGCAGGAAATAGTAGAGTGGATCAATGCGAGGCAAAATGGAGAGGAAGATGTTTCCAAAATAGGCAGTTATTCCAAAATACATTGTAGAATAATGGCATTCTAGTTTTGGTCATGACTATGGGAAAGTTTTCAAAGCAGGCTTTGCCGACCTTGTTGACCTGCGTGACCACCGCATCGACCACCTCTCCCTTGAAGGGTCTGAAGACAATCGCCTTGTACTTGATGGGGTACCGCACAAACCCTCGACCAGGCAGAATCAATCCAGCACCTATGTTGTCGATTGTTGTCACGGCTATCACAAATCCATACCTGAGATAATCAACATTGAAAATCAGTACTAAAGAGACACTTTCTTCGGACCATCAAAAGACCCTACTTATTGAAACGGTTACAAATTCTTGAAGCTGCAAAGGTAAGTTTGGACTGATGTACACCTTGTGAGATGTTTAAAAATCTGAGTGAAACAAAAGTATAGAGGTGTCTTAAAACTTTAAAAAGTAAGAGTTTCCCTTGTAACAACATCCTACAACGTTCACAAAATGACTTACTTTCCGGTGCACGTTCCTTCCACCTCTGTGAAGAGTTTCTGCTTCACTGTGTTCAGGAGGTTGGGCCCAAAGTATCTCGGATGGAGAAGAATCTCATGCTCCAGGGATATCTGCAGGATTAAAATGCCACCTGTTGAAACACCTTCAGAATCTTTTCCAGAAATGTTTATGTTAATGAGGATTTGTGAACACAAAAACTGGCCCAAGACGGTACGGCCCACCAAGACAATTGTATACAATATCTCCAGATGCGTCAATCCTGCTGGGGATGGGAAGGATACATTCCTAAGCCCTCCCAACCTTCTCACTTTTTTTGAATTACCCCTATCATAATTATTGTTGAACCAAATGATGATTTCTCACAGTAAAATTTTGAAGTCCATAACACACACAGGTCATGTTCACAGTTCAGTGAACAGTCAGCAGCCATGCCAGTCATGTAAATCAGTGCTGAGTCGCGGTTCGACTTTACACAGCTGAAAAAACATTCAGGATTTCCAATATTATTTATGCCCAATAATAAATGCTCACTTCTAGTCTTTTCCCAAAATTGAAGTGTCTGGATCAGTGGCCATGTTACACCCCTGCGATGGCACCAATACTAGTTCTACACCATTGAGACTATTCTTGCAGTCGGACATCTGGGAAAGTTCTGTACATTATTGAATAGCAAGAGGGAAAACTTGTCCCTTTGCCGCATGTTAAATGTTTGTACAATGTACATGATGATGTAGTGGCTTGTAGGTCAACTCAACCATTTGCCAACTCGACTCCTGACCAACTTTACAGTAGACCAACTCGACTGTTGAACCAACTCATCCGTTGACCAACTCGACTTCAAAGTCGAGTCAACTCAACCATTTACCAACTCAACCGTTTGCCAACTCGACCACATGATTGATACATGGGTTTAATAGACAAACCCTTTCCTTGAAAAATAGATATTAAAAGTGGAAAATTAAAGATTGTATCAGTTTCGCATTGCGAAAATTATGGATGCTAATTTCAGCTCAATGAACCCACGAAATCAACTGAAATGCAATCAGTAATTGAACTTGTGCCAATGAGATACTCCAAAATATTTTTCCCAATTTGAGAAAAAGCACGAACGCACGAACCCCCAAATCTGTCACCACACTCTGCGCATGCACAGATCACATCACGAGGCAGGATGCAACAATTTTTCAACAGTTCGATCAGCTGGAACGGATGCCATTTTTGGCAGCAAAATCGAGGTTAGGCAAGTGTCTGAAATACACGACTTTGGCAGCCCTTGTCCATGTTCTCTCTTGCATGCCTGAACGATACGTTTTTTTATGGAGGAAGGACACAAACTATTAACGTAAATTATTCGTCTTTGTAGGGTAAACAGTGTCATTTCGGAATCTCAAGTGTATAAGAATTTAAATGGGTGCAATACTTACGTGGTAAAACATCTTAATTTGGTCAAAACGATTGTTTTTGAGCGAGCAGAAACAGTCCGCATCTGACCGGTGACCCCTACCCGTTCGATCCCCGGCCTGCTTCATTTAGTCAGGTTCCATCATCACAAAATCAAGATTGCCCTTCGCTATGCACCCTTGAAAGAAGGGAAGTCGGGGAAACAAGCGACTTTGTAGAGCGATTAAGGCCGTTTTCCAATACTCGATTGGGCTCCATTTGAGGCTTCAACTGATTTTTTTTTTTACTTCCTGACTTTGAGATTATAAGCGCAATAGTAAGTCTGATAGTGCCATTGAACATCAAGTAAGATGTAAAAGAGCCAAGCAGTACAGTATTTTACTCTAAGTTGAACGTTTCAGGCCCACAATCGAGGATTAGTTTCCTACACGAAGCCCGCGTCGGAGACGAAGTGGAGTATTGGAAAACGGCCTTAGTAATCAGTTTAAAAAAAGCAGTGACATACGTAGGATGGCCGCTTTTGACAGCGAAGAAAAAGGAGAAAACTCGCAGAATGAATTTCCAACGATCGCCCCTCCTTTTGGTGGTCTGCTTATTGCTGTAGAACGCTGTCCGCTCTGTGAACGGACCAAGAAGCCGTTTACGTGTCAGAAGTGCGTAGAAAAGGGTGATTTCGTCCATTCCAACAGCTGTGGAAACGGCAAGAATTCAGAAAGGTAATAGTACAGTATATCTGTTCCTTGCTCTCTGTGCATTGTACTGTACATGTGTAGGATGATAGTGATACAAAGCTGCCTTGTGGCCTAGCCCTGGCATTGCATCACCCTTACATGTACATGGTGTACATGTAGTAGGCTTCTGAAAACTTCTGGAGTTTGCAACATTTGAATGTACTACAGCGTAACTGAGTGGTAAATTGTCATCAAACTTTTGTTACATTTCACTTCACTTTATTTCACACACAAAAGGTGAGGGACCACTAAGAAGCACAGCTTGTCGAGCAGGGGCCCCTATACAGACATAACTGGACATGTAGGACAAAAACATTACATATAAGTCATCTACATACCTGGTATAACAATTAACAAAGAAAATAATGTATAATAAATATGTGTACCTGAATTCATAGACAAGTAAAATAATAAAACCTGTAATCTGTAACCTGTAAGGCTCAATCATTTCCCATGTAATTATTCAGTAAACATTTCTTATATTTCAGTTTGAATAGCGATAAGGTGGGTAAATCTTTTAACAAACCTAATGAGTTCCACAGCTTGGGACCCTCATGCTTAACTGTTTTAGTTGCAAGTTTCATGTGTACAAAAGAGAGATGAAACTCACTACACTGCTTTGTTAAATGGTAATGTATTTTATTAGTTTTTGTAAACATTGAGCTGATGTAGTTGGGTACATTAGTATTATTTACTTGATGCATGAGGGTCCCTAGCTGGAAAGAATAAATATTACTGACTTTTAGTGTTTTACATTGGTAAAATAAAGGATTACTATGTTTTTGAAAAGATGTAGAATTGATAATGTGCAGTGCCTTTTTTTGAAGTTTAAGTATTCTATCTATTAGGCTAATTCCACAGTTGCTCCATGCAATTATGCCATATGATAAATATGGTAGAAATAGAGTATTATATAGAGTCAGTAGAATATGTTCTGGGAAAAATGCTTTTAACTTGCATAGCACACCTATATTCCTTGATACAATTGAACTTGTATAGTTAACATGTATTTTCCAAGAGAGATCTTCGTCAGTATACACTCCCAGGAATTAAGTTCACTCAATGTTTGAGATGTTAGTATCATCAATAAATATATCAGGGATATATTTAATTGGCTTGTTACTGAACAGCATAAAATTTGTTTTCTTTGGATTGATTGTCAATTTGTTTGCTTTAATCCATGCAGAAACCTTTTTTAGTTCTTCGTTAACTTTGTCAGAGTGTACTGGCATCACTGTGACTGTAAAAAAGATTGCTGTCATCTGCAAACAAAATGAAGGAAAACAAGTTTTCTTTCATTTTGTTTGCTGAAATCGTAATGTAAATCGAGAACAAAAGGGGCCCCAAAATAGACCCTTGAGGAACTCCATGGGAGATTTGACAAAAAGATGATTGACAACCATCTACATATACATACATGATACTGTTTACGGTTTGTACACAATGTAAGGTACATGTAACTCCTGAACCACTCCAAGGCAATTCCCCTGATACCATAATGGTTAAGTTTAGATAAAAGAATGTCATGGTTGACTGTATCAAATGCCTTGGATAGGTCCAGGAAAATACCGACTGTGGTAAGTGAGGCATCTACATGTACATGTAAGTCACTAGTTATCTTATCAATTAACAGATTAAATGAATAATAGCATGCGAGGTGGAGTGGTTCTCTCCAAACCCATACTGGTTGTCAGAAAATATATTATGTTTGTCTAAAAAAAGCATAGTGCAAATGTAAACCATTCGCTTCAAGATTTTAGAAAACGATTTAGAACAGAAATGGGTCTATACATTTACATGTACATGTACATGTGTAGTTGCTGACACAGGTACATGTAGCACTGCCATTCTTGAATACAGGAGTAATTCTAGCAATCTTCATGTTATCTGGTACCATACCTGTGGAAATAGAAAGATTCATAATATATGTTAATGGTTTAGTAATATCTCAAATAACTGCTTTAATCAGTGTACAATTAATTTGATCGAATTCCGTATTCTTCTTATTTGGCAGTTTACATACTAGCTCGATGATCTCCTCTTCAGTTACAGGGGAGAAAAAATAGAATCAGTGTTAGGATTGGTTAAATAATTCAAATTATGGTCAATATCCAGGATTTCATCACAGAGATTCTTACCAATATTTGAAAAATAATCATTATAATAATTTGCAGTGTCTTTAGGATAATCGATTGATACACCATGTGATTCGATTTTTAATTTAGTTTGATGACTATTGTGGTTATGCAATACATTGTTTATTTATTTTCCAAGTATTTTGAATATTTCCCTTTTCTTTATTAAATTGTTTGGCATAGTAATTACGTTTAGAATTACGAAGGACATTAGTCAGTACATTTTTATATCGTACATATCTAGCACGATTAGTTTCTGTTGGGTTAGACTTAACCTTGCGATAAAGTTTGTTTTATGATTAATGGATTTACATAAACTGACGTTGACGCAAGGGACTTTAGGAACCAATTTCTTGGCTTTTAATTTAACCCGTTTTAAAGGAATATGCTCATTAAGGTCTACGTTGAAAATATCCATGAAGTTATCAAGGCACAATTTACATCCTGCATGTTAAGAACTGACCTTCAATCATGTAGTCTAAGTTCTTGTTTTAGGTTTGCAATATTTTCATCTGTAAAATCACGAGTAAAAGAATGATGAGAATTATGTCGGTTTGTCGTAAATGGAAAGTAGTAAATATTTAAAAATGGTCAGATACATGTATATCAGTCACTAGAATGCCAGATTTTGATAATGGTAGTATGTTTGTGAATATATCATCAATTAAGGTTGCAGATGTGCTTGTTATCCTAGTAGGTTTGACAATAAGAGGTACATGTATGCAGGAAAATGAGTAAATGAGATCTAGAAATTTCTGTGGATGGCAACGCTGTCGGAAGTAATTAAATTCAAATTCAAATCACCAGTTATTAAAACATGTTTATTATCTTTAGTTGCATTATGGAGGATTAAATTAAGTGAGCTTAGGAAATCATCAAAGGTTTGCATCTGGTGGTTTATATACGACCCCAACAATTATGTTGTTTTGGTTATGAGGGGTAATAATTTCAAGAAAAATACATTCTGGAGTGCTTAATGGCATTCAGGTTAGGCCTCAGAACATATTGGAGGCTACTTAGGATATATAATCCAACACCACCTCCAGCTCAATTTTGTCTGTTTTTAGTTACCAAAGTATACCTGGGTATATTCTATTCACTCATACTTGAGTTAGCGTTAAACCAAGTTTCACTCAAAACTATGATGGAAAAGTTATGATTTAAGGGATGAAGTAAAAGTTTCAAAGAATCAATATTTTTGGGTTAGCTTCTTCGTGTTTACATGTTTCTGAACAGTATGTACTGTATACATGGAACAAACAATATTTATTAGGTTTTCTTTAGGCTGGACCATGGCTGGACAGTGAGTGCTTCTTTTGAATTTATTTTACTGTTTAACTTGATGAGTAACAGTTAGATTGCACTTTGATTTGTGAAAACTGGTCAACATGGTCAAGGGGTCCTTTAAGTTATGGTCTATTGTTGATGTACCCTAACATGGTGCAGCTCCTTATATGGCACACTTTCATTTTTTGCCCATCTTGTCTTACTGAAGCAATTTTTTTACCCAAAATTTCAAAAATTAAACTTCCTCAAACTCCTATTATTATGATTCATAAATATTGATTTTATGTAGGCCAAACTGCTACAAAGTTCCAACAAAATTTTGTTTTTGCCAAATTTTTCGGGTTTTTTCCAACACACTAACAACGCTTTAAAATGTGCCCCAAAATATGAAATTATTTTTCTGACACACTTGTGGATGGGTACATGAGCAAAAGGACTGATGCTTTACAAAAATCTACCGGTATCAACTTTAAAAAATTTTGAAAATGTTTATGTGGGCTTTTCTGAGATTTTGTCCAGTGTGTCACGTTAGGGGACACTCGGCTGAATTTGGATGCGGACATTTTTGGATTTCGGATGAAATTTCATGTCATTTAAATTGTCCACAAAGGTTCAACATCATGCCATGAAGTACCAGCATTTAATCAAATGAGGTTTGAATTTTGAGTTTTTCTGCGAAAAGGTGTGGCAATACTGTGAGAGGAAAGTCAAGTGAAAGTCAGCGTGCGCCACGTTAGGGGACTCTTCTTTAATGGAGACTTAAACCAATTTCCTTTACAACCAAAGAAACAAACAACAAAATTCAATAAAAAATTTTATTCCATAATTGGTCATATTGCAGCATATCTGCTTTTATTTACATGCGTCAGACATCATAATTACCTATATACATGTACATGTATTTCTTATCAAAGGTACATGTACAGTTTACCAGCTGATCACGCTTAAACTTAGAATATGCACTTTAGCACATAATGATGGTGATCAGAAAAAAGTAATGCCAACAGGTGGTAATGAGTGGTGGTGATGTTGCACACTCTGATTTTGTTTTGCAGGTTTTCTGACAAATTAAACCGACTGAAGCAGTTGAGAAAAGAGAGATCAGACATCTTTGAGAGGTATGTTTCAAAGACATGACTGCAACTATGGATGATACGGGGGCTGTGCCCTACACGTACATGTACCTCACCAGACAAGTGCAACTGATGCTAAATGTGATATTAATTCAAAAATTATTTTTGTCTCAATATTTTTATGTGCTGTATGTATGTCCTGTAGTACATGTATGTAGGCCAAGTTATTCACCACCTCCAAGCAATGTTAGGAAACAAAGTTACTGTATAAGTTGGTTTTGAAATAAAATCATTCCCTCAATTTTGTAGTAATTTGAGCTTGACAATGTTGGGATTGGTACATGTACATGTGTGCTTTGGATATCATGCTAAATTATGCAGATACATGTATGTTCACTTTCTGAATAAAATCGTTGTTGTAATCATAGTTCAATACATGTCTGTATCATTTGTTGACACAAACCTTTATACATTCAGGAGTATACATTCATGCAATAATGAACAGTGATTAATGTACCGCTATTGCTGTTGAAAGAGTTTTGCAATAATAGTATCAATAAATTGGTTCTGTTGAATGATGGGGATATGCTAAGAAGTGCTTTTGGTTTGGTTTGTAGAGTTTCCAAGAAGTTAGAAAGAGCAGTCTCAGCTGCAGCAAAGGTAAATTACAAATAGACCAAAAGGTTAAATAACCTGCCAAGCCTTCTACTGATAAGAGAAGACCTACATTCAGGAAGATATCTCAACTTTTGTGACAATTTTGACCGTCATACATGTATGTCATTTTTGCTGAGTTATTTTATTTAAACTTTTATGTTGTACGTGTAGGAATGGGGGAATTATGAAGCATAGAGAGGATTTCTTGGGGGGAACAGAAAGTAATCTGTCAAAACCAAAACTGCTAGGAAAAGATCACATCCATTGAAATGTTTTGAAAAAACAGAATAGGAATGGTATTAATGTGCAGCATTGTTTTCTTGACTTTCATTAGAATAGTTTCTTATATCTACCAGTTTCTGATAGGAATGATAAGATTTTTGACAGGGGTACACGTATTTTGACCTCAGTTTGTTTGCATAAGGTAGTGTGCACAATTTCTTGTATTGCCGAAATGTTCATATCTTTTTACTGTGTTGTTACATGCTCAGAAATGGGAGATTTCAATGTTGAAGGACCGGTTAGAGTTGATGGAGAAGGCTTTGGAGGAGAACAAAGAGAGATGTCAAGCTGGTGAGGGGATGCAACTTTGAGAATGTCACAAAAATTGTGGTTCTCTCTATGTATTTAGAATTCCATTTTAGAAGATACCAGAAGTCACTGCTGAAATTTCTTTTTTTTGTGACAAGTGGCAATAAATGGTGCAACTTTTTTGATGTAAGATATGTCTTTGAAAGCAATCTTTATCTTATTCTCTACCAAATGATGTTTGTGTACAAAGTTCATTTGTTTAAATGTGACAATTTGTCATACTTCTCGCAGTGCGGGGCCCTTTTCATGAAGCTGCTGATGAATAGTTTGAAAAAGAATTCTACTTTACAGCACCAGAAAAGTTTCACAAAGTGTTTGCCCTCGCATGTGCATAAATATTTCTTGCGTTGATATTTTCTTGAAGTCGGAGCTGTTAGTTGGCCCTATGATAATGTTTTCTTTTGTCTTACAAATCGTTC